CCTAAAAGGATTTAAAATGTTAACCTTAAAAACTTATGATGGTACTTTTGATCCCTTCGATCATTTGAAACTTTAGCTGACTAACATGATGATGCAAAGTGTAAATGAAGCTCTAATATGCAAAGGTTTGGCTATTACTCTGAAGGGCACAACTCGATCCTAGTACGTAGCCCAGAACTGAGATTAATTACGATGTTCAAATAGCTTAGTAACTCTTTCTTGTCTTGATTTTTAAGTAATTGAAGAGTGAAGAAGATAACTCTAAGTTTGATGTTGACTTACCAAGGTCACAATGAATTTTTAAAGAGATATGTCATGTTTTTTAACGTAGAAGCTCTACAAGTTAAAGATCTGGAGCAAACGATCGATGTAGCTGTCTTGACAAGTGGACTTAACTACAAAAAGTACCCACCTGAAGTTAACCTCATCACTAGAACCATTTAAAACTCTGGCTAACGTCCTACTGATAGTTGAGAAATATATAAATGCCAAAGCTACAATAAGAAACAATCGATGTGAAAGAGGCCCATCCCCCCCATTGACAATTGAGGTAAGAGAAGTTCATCTTTATCCTCGATTATAAGAAAGACAAAGATTTTTATGATTCTCTCATAAAAGGGAGATGATATAAGGCTAGAAGCCCCAGTGAAGAAAAGAACTACACTACACTGAATAACTCTCGAAGAAGATTCTGATGTAAATCGAAAGAAATCTAGACCTCAGATGGCTGAAGCCATTGAGATAGAATACAATGAAGGATTCGACCAAAAGATGTGGCTTTCATAAGGATGTAGGCCATAACACCAAAAATTATGTTGATTAAAAATGAGATTGAAGCCTTGATAAGGAGAGATAAGTCGAAAAAGTTTGTAGAGTAGTGAAGACTAAGTCAACCCAAAATAGACTACAGATAAGATTGAAGAGAACCTATCTAAGGTAGAGAGGGAAGGTAAAAAATGGAAAAAGATAAGTCCAAGGAGATGAGCCAAGTCAAGAAGAAGTCTGAACTAATAACAATAAGCTGATCACTGGAGTGATAAATGTGATCACTAGAGACAGCTCTACCTTTGTCAAAAGAAAGTTCAATCTATGCATGGTCATAGCCATAGGTACCTCAGTAAAAAAAAATGAAAAGACAAACCAATCTCATTCAGTCCAAAAACATGAAAAGAATCCAACACCTATATGATGACGTTATAGTGATCACGATGGTAGAATATAACTATGGAATCAAAAAAATCTTGTTTGATAATGAGAGCTCGATCGATGTCATGCATTATGGTAGTATAAAAAAGATAAGAATAGGTGAAGATGTATAAATCACACTAACAAGCAAATAAGTATTGGATAATGAGGTGATAATAAATAAAAGCAATAATCTATAGATTCGTTATAATATCTTCATGATTTTATTGTGTGAATAATTAACCATGAATTGATATCGACTCATATAATCATACCATGATATATCAAAAATTTGTTGAGTGAGTGGATACCAATTAATGTGAAATATATGGAACAATATATATATATGCAAATTAGTCAATTCAATTCAAGGTTTAGCCAAAAAGTCGAAAAAATAGTAAATGTCATAAAGGCATGTAAGCAAAGAACGAAGTAGGATTATAGTTGGATAGATACACCATGGATTAGAATTTTTTGCAATATATAAATTTTTTTTTTGAAATTGTCTTTATTCTGATAAATATCTCATAAAGTGCAAAGTTTGATCCAAAAAGGTTTAGTGAGTTTTGATGAATCAAAAGGACAAGATGTCAATGAAAATCTTTCACCTGATTGCATAAGGGCATGATTTTAGAGAAAGATGTCAAAGCTGATTGAAAGTTACATGTCATTTTAAGATTTCTTTTAAAGTAATGTTAGGATTTTTTTTATGCAATAGGATTTCATTCATTATCATTTTAATAAAAGGCAAGGATAATGCATTTCATTACATTTTCTCTTTCATTCAATCACTGTTCCATTCTTTGTCACCTTTCATAACTTTGGCTTAGGCCTAAACCCTATTAGATCAGGCTCAATGACCTTGGACCCGAAGCAAATATGGTGCCTACACTAAAAATCAGTTCAGTCTGATGGTTGAAATGGCTCAACTTTAGACATAGATAGTGGCTTGAAAACATGGTTGAGTTGCAGCTTGGCTTAGCTTGACTGGAGGCCTTAGCTGGAATATGGGTTAACAGAATGGGTTGCACTTGGGTTGGGTCACCTGTTGAGAAAACACGTAAATCTTGGGGCTACTTAAGGCCAAAACAACATCGTTTTAGTGAGCGTATGAAAGCTCGAATTCATTTTTTTGGGTCAAACTTCACCTCTGCTATTTCTTTTATTTCTTTCTCTCTCTCTCTCTTTAGAATCCGAAGAACTTCGGTTGAATCTTCATCGAATTCTAAAAAAAGTCATTGAAATCTAGGTTAGTTCGTCGAAAGTTCATCGAAAGATTTAATCTTTGCCAGAATCTCCTACTAGATTCTAAAAAATTCATCAAAAAATTTAACCGTCGCCAAAAAATTCATTGAAATTTGAAAATTTTTGTTAGAATATGAGAATTTTTCAAATTTTTTCAAAAAAAAGCTCCAAAAAGCTTTTATTCTCTGACTTCTTTTGTGTGTTTTTTTCTCTGCCTTTTCATGTATCTGTTTAATCTTTCTCTTTTTTTGTGTCCTTCTGATCTCTCGATTAGGGTTTGTATTTATAAGGTTCTAATCCAAAGAATCTTAATCTAGATAAAAATTTCAATTTCTTTTAAACTTCAACTTTAAACCCCAAATTCAACTTAGACTCAGACAAACAACTTCAATCAAACTCAATCACCTATTTTTCATTTTATTTTTTTATTTTTTATTAACAAAATTAATTCAAGTAGAACCTTAAACAAATTAGGGTGTCTACATCTAAGAAAAAAAATGTTGTCTTCAGAGTGTGAACATGATGAGTTGAACACATGTTAGGGTAATCTTCAAGATTAGCCCTACCTTTTGGTTTTTTCATTATGTTTTTAGGGATTATACCAAGGTTACAAGAAATATATATAGAAACCTCAGTTAGATCATCTTGCTCTGTAGAATCCCCTACCTTGTCATCATTTTCCTCAGCTAAGGTACTCTATTCCCCTTATTCTTATTTGGAACCCTCCTCTTTATCATAATTTTCACTGTTATAAAACTTTAACTCCTGAGCATGTGCAAAATTCCCATGTTGAACTATGGTTGATAGTAACACAATTCTGAGGGAAGAAGGATAAGGTGAAGACCTTTTAGAAGAAAAAGTAATTTCAATAATAATTGATTGAGGTGGAATAGAAGAAACCATATGAATATCAATTGGTGGGAGAGTAAAAGTAGAAAAAAATTGATGAGATTGAACCCCAAAAGGGAGAACAACATAACATGTAGAAAGGTTAGCCATAGAAGATAGACTGACCTAAAAAATAGTGAAAGGAAGTGGATTTTGTAAGTCAAAATTTATTTGAGCACATAGTTTATTTGTCTTCAGAACCCATTCTTTTCTTACCCGAGCATTATCCTATTTCATTACTACCTTTCTTTAGACATCGGGTTGAACCAGAAGGCCATCTTCTGATAATCACAACCTTCGATGACTATTGAAATCAAGTCATCTTTCTCTTGCCAAAGTTAACCACCTTTAAGTTTTACCTTGAAACTTTTGACATCCCTAAAACTTAAATTAGAAGATATAGTTGAAAATACGTACAAAAAAAATCAAAAAAAATAACAATTTTAAGGTTAAAAAGTTTTAAGATTGAAAAACTTAGATTGGGCTAAGAGCAAAGAAAGCAAAAAAGTGAAAAATGAAAGCCTTGAATGCCATTTATATAGCTGTATTGCAGATTATATGAATGGCATAGACCATGCCACGTGTTAGAACAAAGATAGGAAGATGTCTTTTCGTATTCTCTCTTTAAATTTTTTTGCTCAAACTACTTTTCTCCTTATTTAAAGCTATTAGACTCATCAAATCGGACAAACTCTAGGTAAGATCAACCAAACCAGACATCTCCTTAGGATAAACTGGATGCTTGATTTCATTATCAGAGTTCAAAGTAAGGACTTAAATTCAAACTCTTGAAATAAAACACAAGTCCCACGTTGACCAGACGAACTCCAACGTTAATCTCAAATCATCCTAAACAATTAATACCTCGACAACCTTCAAGTCGGTAATGCAATCAACCGAAGACATACGCTCAAGATCAGACCCCCAAAAGGTCAGACCATGGTTCAAGGCTAGTTGTCCCTCAATGCCAACCTTTTATGTGACATCAACTTCGAAGAATCAAATTTCACATTATTCTTTTTTACTTATCTACCTTACATGAAGTGTGTCGATTATACACCTAGCAGTTTGATACTTAAACTACTTGATAAGAGGACATAGTATTGAGGGTATTTAGTGCTAAAAAAGGTATAGTGATATTTTTCATGTTAGAACCTTTAAGCAAATAATCAAAAGTAATTTTGATATTCATGTCAGGTCGATTTGACATATTTAATGTCACATCAATTTGACACTATCTTTATTGTCTCTTAAATGTTCTTCATTATTTATCTATAAATATGAAGGCCCAAACACTATTAAAATAAGTTTATCATATTCTTAATTTTTTTATTACTCTCATTTCGACTTCACCTATTTTAATTTGTGTGTTGAAGTATTAATATAAAAAGCACTCTTTATTTTTGTTTCTAATTATCTTTTTATTTGTATATTTTAAAATATTTTGAGCTTGAAGCTCGACACAAATAATATTAAAATATTTAGCTTATCTAAACCCAATTTTACAGGGAAGTCAAGAAGAGATCAAATGTAAAAATAATCTAGTAAAAGCAAAAAAAATCTAAAAAAAAAATAGGTAACTTGTTACAAGCAGTTGACTGTCTAAGCTTTAAACTAGTGGACCACGTGGCTCTGTGTAGAGCTGAGTGTTCCAAAGTGGCTGTTAAGGTAAATCATCTTTGATTTGGCCTTTTGGCGTGGTCCGCGTGGAAACAAAACGACAAAAAAAAAAAAATGCCAACGACCAATTCCTCCAACTGGTATTCCCTTCTCTCATTTCTCTGTCCTCTTCTTCTCTTCCGGTTCCGCTCCGGGCGCCTGCCCTGCTTGGGTTTTGTTGAATCCTGATAGGGTAGTGGTTGAATCCCATGTTTTCCCAATTTTTAGTACACAAATGACATATGAAAACCATCACGAACAACTAAACAAACGTTTGCTACGAAAACCCAATCAGAGATTAATCCTTGGACTTCCCAAAAAAATATTAAAAAACATAAAAAGATGCCATCTCCAATCTTGCCCATATCAAACCACCCGTCTTCCTCTGCATCGGCATCCACAATGCTACTTAAAGCTAAGATCGATGCTGACCCATCGACAACCCTCCTCATTTCGTCGCAAGAAAAGGCTATTTCCATTAAGCCTGTCTTACCTAGATCTTCAAGTTTCAATAACACAAGCAATATTAACAACTCTACTGCTTTTACCAACAACCAACAGCAGAGAAGGCGCCGGACTGCCAGCGATAGCTCGCTCGCTCTGCTAGCTGATGAAAGCCCCCGCCAGTCTTTAAGCCGGGAAGTGGGCCATGCTGCTGCCGAGACATTTCTCCTCACTCGCTTAAGTTTGAAACTCCTTAGCTATCTCGGGTAAGATTCTTTTCTTGTCAATTGCTCTCAGCCTCTCCTTTTAATGATATTTTTCTTTTTTTCTCTTATGTCTACTTGTATGCTGATGTAAAAGACTGTTCTTTTGGTGGATTGATCGTCAATTAGCATTCTTGTTTTCGTAGACCGAATCTTTCTTGTATTGGTAGACTTGATATTTAATAGATTCAGAGGCATGAATGTTTGTTTGATATGTTTTGATTCCTTCTGTTTTCCAAAATGCTTTTGTGTGTGTGTTCTGCTTAAGGATTGTTTCCTGAGATCCATCTTCAGCCTTTCATAAGAATTTTTGTATTGATTCGATGATATGGAACGGTGCCAAAATCTTTCTATTTCTACATAGAAATAGGAAAAGAAGGAACATATATTCGGTTTTAATGCCCCCCTTGCCTTTCACAACTTTCTTGATTATGTTTTCTGTTTATTAGAAAGCTTAAGAAGTTTCCTGTTACTACTCACTGGGGTTGGGAATGTGCTGAAGTTAATAACTGGTGCTGTAAAGGATGTAACTTTTGGGTGAGGAGTCAATAGCTCTTCTGTGAGATTTTATGATACTGATTGATGATCATTTATGTAGAGGTCCCCAAACTATGACCTCCAGATAAAATTCTGAAGTAGTTTTTTTTTTTTTTTTTTTAAATCACTTGATGCATTCAACTATGCTACATTGAGAAATCTAATAATGATTATTGATGAAGCTTTATTTCTACTGTTAATTAAGACCCATTCAAAGTTTTCAATGAAGAAATGTTGCTCGTTTCATCTCATGGAAACCTTAAAGAATCTCTGCACGATATCATTATCAGCAAGGACAAAAGCCAATTGAGATGGTTTAGCTGAAATTCAACTTAAATAGTATTGATGGCAAATTGATTGGGAAGATCTAAAACTGAATTAGTTGGCTGACAAGCAAAGATGTAAGAACAAAAATTCATGAGTTGTTGTATGTGGAAGGTATGTTTTGGAGTTTAACAAGAATCTCAATGAACGTGAAAAGAATGTTAATGAATTTCTAAGAATATATAATTATGTAACAAACTCAATTACTTGGAGTTAGTTGAAAGAGAAGAGAAGTACCAATTCGTGAGGCCTCAAACTTCAAGATCAGTACCCTTTTATCATTTTTATATCGCTCAAGGACTTGGAATTGTTTTTTATTTTACTGTTGTTTGAGATGCTAATATCACTTTTATATTTTACTTTTTTACGAGATGTGCCTTGATGGTCGATTATTTTTTCAGGGTAGGCTACAGATGGATCACAAGATTTCTTGCCCTTGGTTGTTATGCTTTGCTACTTATGCCAGGTTTTATTCAAGGTCTGTGGTGTTAAATGGATCACTGGAAAAAAAATCAAACATATATTCCCTATTCATTTATTACTAAGTACCATTTGATTGTCGCTTTTACTACTTGCTATTTGCTTCTACTAGCAAAAGCAAAAAAATGCATGTGGCTACAAAAACAGACAATATTTTTGATGAATTAAAACTAACAATGTCAAATTTTTTGAATAAAAAGTGCATGATTTTATATTTATATAGAACAATCATGTTAGATTTTAGTTATTTGGTCATTTTTAATCAATTATGATTTTGCTTTATAGCATTCTTCTCAGAAGCAAAAGGCAAAGATTAAAAAGTAACAATCAAAGTCTTAATTTGTGACAGTGAGTCTTGTATGGCATCTGTCATCAGTTTAACTTGATGGATCTGAAATAGCATAACAAGCTTGCTTTTCTTTTGCAGTTGGTTATTACTATTTCTTTTCCAGACAGGTCCGCAGGAGTGTAATATATGGTGAACAGCCAAGAAATAGGTAAAGTTGGTGGTCATTATCTACTTCTTGTGCACTTCCAAGCAATTAATATGTATATCCTTGCAATTATATTTGATTTTCAGACATGAATAACTTGAATTTTGTTGCAGACTTGATCTTTATTTGCCTAAAAACAGCCACGGAACAAAACCAGTGGTAGCATTTGTAACTGGTGGAGCCTGGATTATTGGGTGAGTTATTTGACGTTATATATTTGGACATGTAGTAGAAATTCTCAACTGTAGTAGCAGATGTCTCTCCATTAGGTTTTATTGGAAGATAAGAGCTTCTATTTTGTTGTGTGATCAGACTAAAAGATGCCTTAACCAGTCTTAGAAAGATAAGTAATTCCATTGACAGAAGGGAAGCACAATCTATAAGATAGTAATCACTTCCCTTTTTGTTTTACAGTTGCCAAATCAGGTTCTGATCACTGTCATGGGCCTCTTGGCTGCTATTTCTGACATTATACCTTATTGGCTCCTCATTTGATTTGTACTTGCTAATTTATCCTTGATTTGTTCATGGAGTTTCTTTCCTTAATGCAGTTATAAAGCATGGGGTTCTCTTTTAGGTCAACAGTTGTCAGAAAGAGACATCATAGTGGCATGCATAGACTACAGGTGAAATATTTCACTTTAAGGCAATGACATTTTGTTGTAGAACATTATACTATTTTACTGGATCAAGAGTTCAAGACCCAACCAGCATTGTTGATTAAGTTTCTCTGATCGACATGCTGCTACTTGCATTAACTTGTATTTTGACCTCCTTATCGTATCCTAAAGAGAATTTGTTACTTTATCCTAACGGCAGTTATATGCTGGCCCTTTAAACATCTTAACACTTACATGTAGAAGCCTTCATGATTTTGATGACCACAAAATTTAACCTGTTCTCATCTTTTATCACCCAGCTGGGCTCATGTTTAGTAGACGCGATTTACTGATTTTTTTTATTTGTTTATGTAGTTCTAAAGTCTTGTTGGGGCAATTATTTGTCTATTTTGGGCATGGAATGATCTTATAATACAATTTCACTATCTTATTTTCACTTGGTCCCACCTCAAACATCTTCCAAATGTGTTGCCTGTTCGTTTCTATCGATTTTTCTGTTTTCATTCTTCTTCCTTTGCATATTTCTTCTAATCTCTAATTTCAAAAGTAATGTTTCTTGGCCAGCTATCATTTTCATATCGATAATTTAATCTCATTGGGGATATTCTAGTGGCGACTGTTTCTCTTTCTTTGTATGTACTTGAACACATCTAAAAGGCTGCATTTTTTTTCATGATAAGTTGTTTTCTATCTAAAAGGACCATAATCTCCCTCTTTTCATACATTTTGGTGAATGGTTCTGAATTAAAAATTTATATATTGCTAAATAAATAATATCTCGGAATAATATGTAAATTCTTACTGTTAGATTAAATACAACATAATCACTTTATGCAGTGTAAGAGAATCTTGATGTTATAAGAATCAGTCCCTTGATATTAAATTGGGTTCATGCCTCTCGTTAGGTAATTTTGTTTTGAATTTATGCTTCAAGTGTCCTACTTTTCATGGTTGGAATCTGCATCTAGAAATTTTCCACAGGGCACTATAAGTGACATGGTGGAGGATGCTTCTCAGGGTATCTCATTTGTTTACAATAATATTGCTGAATATGGAGGTGATCCCAACAGGTATGGGATTAGTAACATTTCCATTTTTAATTTGGTTCAATATATTTAATATTCTATTCATGCTTTGTCTTGCCAGGATTTATCTTATGGGACAGTCAGCTGGTGCGCATATTGCTGCTTGCACACTTATAAAGCAGGCAATCAAAGAGGCTGGTGAAGGTGACAGTGTTTCTTGGAGTGTGTCCCAGATAAAGGCTTATTTTGGTTTGTCTGGCGGGTAATTATTTATTAAAAATTTTATAACCTTGTAACTTTTCCTGCCAGCAAGAAATGGACATTTGGGCACTCTAAAAATACAGTTTATTCTTTTTCTTTTCTGTTACTTTGAATCTGATCCTGAAACTTTAAGTTAATGATGAATATAACTTTCATAGTAAAAATGGAATAAATTTTTGGTTTCAAATCTCAGTCAACGTAAAAAATACTGATGTATGCATGTGTATATAAACACACACACACACACATATATGTTTATACATATTCTGACCTTCCCCACCTAATTCACGTAGCACTATTTTTTTCTAAAAGGTAAAGAGTCAAAGGTTGTAACTGAAGCATTTTACTATAGTGTTTGGTATTAGTGTAGACAATCTTAAATAGCTCTTGTTATTTCTCATGTCTTTGGGTTGCTTGTTAAATGCATTAAGCGTTTTCCCTTTCTATTTCCCCCTTTATTTAGTGCCATAGGTGTTTGGAATAAACATCTAATGCAAGTTTTTAACCCCTTATACATATATGTGTGTGAATTTTTATTTAATAAAACAATTTCAGTTTTGTGTTTAATATCTGATGCTCAATTATCATTAACATTCCCCAACAGGTACAATCTTTTTAACCTTATAGATCACTTCCATAGTCGAGGTTTATACCGTTCGATCTTTTTAAGGTAAGTGATTTCATTATGATATAGACACGAAAACCTTGTTTAGTTCTATTCTCTGTTTTTTCCTCAGTTGAACAAATTTCTCTGCATTTCCATACAGCATAATGGAGGGGGAAGATTCTTTGCGTCAATTTTCTCCTGAAGTACTGGTGCAGGATTCAAACATTAAGCATGCTGTTTCTCTTCTTCCTCCTATCATTCTTTTTCATGGTACTGGAGATTATTCCATTCCTGCAGATGCCAGGTTTAAATCTTGTCTTTTAAATTGATAATTCTAAACATTTGTTCCTTTTTTTTATTAAATTTGCATTCATGGATAAGGCCTTCGATAATCATTGACATTACAACATTATGACTGATATTTCATTTTCTTCTTTTTCATTCCATTGTACTCAACATCCGGGATTGTTCTGAAGTAGCTATGTAACACTTAAATTTGGAACCTTTCGATCCATTTTTGTTAGGAGAGGGGGTTTTGGGTATTTTAGTCCTCGCAATGATATTATAGCCTTTAAGTTACTTTTAATATGGAGTCTTAATTGTTGCATGGTTAGCCCTTAACTCATTCCAAATTGATTTATCCAGACTTTGTATAACATGTTTCCCTTGCAGTAAAAATTTTGCAGATACTCTTCGAAGACTTGGAGGGAAAGCAGAATCCATATTATATGAAGGAAAGACTCACACAGATTTATTTCTTCAGGTAATGAAAGAAGGAACAATGCTTTGTGTGTTAGATATACCAGTGTGCTTTCTCTTGTCAATTTACTGATGTAGATGTATATCCTTTTGATATATCTGTGGTCCTTTAAAGTGACTTAGAGCCTGCTTAGTTTTACAAACTGTTTCCCATTTTCATGCCTATTTACACTCTAAATATGATAAGATAAGGCAAATAACTACATTTTGAAAGCTGGAAAAGCAGTGTTTTCAAATGTTGTTGAAAAGTTAGAAACAATTTATTTGAATTTCCATTTTTATAGAAAATTGAAAAATGAGGGTTTCTAAATTTAATTATTACCTTTATTTTATTGATTGTTTATAATATAAAAATAAAGATGGAAAATGGAAAACTTTCTCTAAAAGTAAACTGACCCAAAGCTTTTTCTCAAAAAATGCCAATGGTTTCTGTGCTGCAGTTTTGTTATGTCAACCTCTTTTGGGCTAAAACCATTTATAATCAAAATACATTGAATGATTGAAAGTTCCACTTGAGTTGCTTTATGCTATTTACTGTTTCTTTCTGTTGGACCATAGATTATGCATAGTCAAAATGCAATCAAATGCTTTTTTAAGTTTCACTAGCACTGCTTGCTGTGTCCTCTATAACATGTTCTTATGTTACCTTAGCCAATTTACATTTTTTTCATCCAACTTCCCTTATTAAAGGTTATTTAATATTTCTAATAATGTCACAACATTTTACTGGAGACCTAGGGATCCCAAATCTTAGTTAATTAGGAATGAGGGTTTTAAGGATGAGGACGAGTTGTTCAGCCTAGACCTAAGAGCAAAAGGGAATGCATGATTTGTACGTTATCTTCTATTGAGCACCAACTTGTCTCATTAAAGTTTGCAATCATATATGTACATAAGGCTCACAATCATTTGCCATTGGTATCTCACTTTCACTGAGGAGACATTTATATGTTTTATATTTGGCCAACATATTATTCAGGATCCCATGAGAGGTGGCACAGATGAGATGTTTGAAGACCTTGTTGCCATCATACATGCTGAAGATGAAGATGCCCTTGCAAAAGATGCAGTGGCGCCTCCAAGAAGACGCCTTGTACCCGAATTCATGTTGAAATTGGCTCATAATGTCAGCCCTTTCTAGCCATTAAAATTGCTCATCTGTCAGACCCAAAATTCATATACTATCAAATTCACCCATGTACATATCACAATGGAAGTTTATTTCCTTCATTGATAAGCTTTACCATGCTTACTTTCCCATTTCTGTGCCCTTGGTGAAGAGTTTTTCTTCTCATCCAAAGTTTTTCTTTTTACTTTTTAAATGAGAAATCCATCTGTCCCCTATTAGAAATCCTTTACACAGATTTGGCGAGAATGTTTATTATAGAATGTAGCCAGGTAGCTATCTCATAGAAATTTGGGACTAAAATGGTGGAGAACTCAACATTGCATTGCTTTGTTATAGTTTTAAAGGTCAAGCCAGGAGGATAGGTGTGCCAAATTAATTGTTGGCTAGGTCTCTATCATATGTTTCTTGTGGAATTTTGGGCATTTGATTGAGATTCTATTCTGATAGCTTGCTGTGTTGTTACTTAGCGGGTGGCTTGCAGTGGTGGCATGGGAGTTCTCAGAACCTGAGGTATGTTTAGATGGTTCAGGCAAGGCTGTAGGTTTATTGTTTTGGTTGTCTTGGAAGGATGAAGGTCTATTCTTGTTCTTTGGGCTATTGAACTTTTCCTGGTTGTTGAGTTGTACTTTCGAGTTGTTCGTGCCATGGAGAGGGTTGAGTTCTAGCTTCTTGTTGATGATGTGTTGTGTCTCTCATGGCGGTCTTTTATACCTGCAGTTACTCGATTTGTTCAAAGAGGAGGATGTTTAATACTCGGTCATAATGGTGGAGTTATCATGCTGGGCTACGGTTGTTGTAGAAGTTCGAGTAGCATATTCTCTTTCTTTTGCTCAGGTTAGAAGTGTAAAGCATAATTCCCTCAACAAATTAATATAATAAGTTAGATTATTCAATCATAAATATCCTAATATACTAGTAGTTATTTTATTCGAGGAACTGGCTGCATATGTGCCTTCATGAATCGATGCTTGTATCATATATATATATATATATATATATATATATATATATATATAAAAGCCCACAACAATTAATTAAAACATAATTTTTATTGTTTGATTTACAAAATTAAACGTCTTTATTCAAAATGAGCAATTTTTACTTGTTACCAATTGTAAAGTTTTTAACTGACTAGCTTAATTGAAGGCCGAGAAGATTAATTCTAAAAAGAGCTGGCCACTTTTCTTTATATATATATATATATATATATATTCAATGGACTAATTAAACTAATTTCTTACATGAATTATATTTAACTATACAATATATAGATATTATAATCGGCAATGAAGAAACTCAGAGGCCCTTTGAAATACATGTGTATTTTTTTATTAATTAGGTCAAGCCTACAAAGAGAGACAGCATACAGATATTATAAATAACAATTACAAGGGAAAAGCTTTGCAATATTTATAATTCCAACAATCCTGACCAGCCAGCCGGCCATTATTTAAGTTGAGCTCCATGGGATCTTCATGTATAATATAATATAATTAATAACAAAGCTCTTGTCTTCCTAATTTTACTTGGTTACTTAGCTGCTGGCTTCCCTCCCGATGCCTACCAATCCATGAAAGGGAGAAATTAGATCAGTTTCACAAAAATAAAGCAACAAATCAATTATTGAAATTAATTAAAATGATTAATTTAAGCATGTCCCATGCAACCAGCTGCTATTATCTTTTTTTAGGGATATTGAATGCATGCCCCATGCAAATGCTACTAATTGAAAGCACATGGGTCTCCAAGTCCCAAGCTAGGAAAGTGATCAAATTTGCCGACTAAATACCTTCTTTTTAGGCTCCCGAGGTTTCTGGTCCGCCTTCTTAGGGGCGGGCTTGGAGGCGGCATCTTTGGGTGTGCTACCGCTGGGTTTGGCGGGCTCCTTCTTGGCCTGCCCGCAGCATTGAGTGCCAACAGGTTTCTCAGCCTTGATAGATGCCATTTTTTCTTTCTAAGCAGAGGAATGAATCAGAATCAGATGTGCTAGTTAGCTCTAGCTTCGTTTGCCTGGATCGAGTTGTAGCACAAATGAAACCATAGGCATATTCAAATTTATAGTTGAGATTTTGGGAACCATCCTTCCATTACTGGGAACAAGCATCAATTGCTGATGAGCTGATGGATGGTGGGAATAGAATAAGAGAAGTGGAGATGGAAAGATGCTTGTAGTTTGTATCGTTTGTTTCACTGTCAGATACCTTGCTTGGGCATATTTCAGTAACATTATCATCATTATTATTAACATCAATTGGATGCTTATTCTGAAGGCCAAGTAGCTATCAAGATTTAGGACATAAGGCCAGCTAGCCGTGCATAAAGCTAGGCATCATTTAATCATCTTTTATACACCACTAACTAAGATTTGTACCGCAACATTTTATTGATGCCATAATAACATTAATTAATTTAATTAAATAATCATTTAAGAGATGATAGGTTATGTAATTAAATGGCTAAAATATTAAAAAAAGTTAAACTATTCTACTGTTATTAAATAAGTTTTTATATTTTTATTGTACCTAAATAAATTTTTATTTGTTGATTTATATTTAAATAAACTCTTATTGTTTCTCAAAATAAACCCTTACTTCAAATAAAAAATTGATTTATGTTAAAACTTTTTTAATATACAAATTAAAGGTTAAGAGTTTATTTAGATATAAATTACCTAAAGTAGTTAAGTACACGTTAATTACCTCAAGTTGCTAAGTATCCGTTTATTAAATCAAAGTTTGACTTTCAAACTTGAATTTAAAATCAATTTTAATTAATATTATTGAGAAAAATTAAATCAATAAATTAAAATTAACTCATAAAAATTAAATTATAATTAAAAATTATAATTAGAACATTTAATGAATTTATTTATAATTAAGAATTACATTAATAATAAATAATTTATAAACAAAATATATAATATTGAAAAATATATTATTTATAATCAAATTCGAATGATGGATACTCTAAAATCACTAATCGAATTTTACTTAAATCAGTGACGAGTAATAATTTTACTATCCGAATTCGATTATAGGATACTTTAATCTTACTTAATTAAGTTGGTAATTTCAAATACCCATTTATAGGGTAACTATTGCCATCCCTAGATGGTTGGAAGATAATTATATCAATAATAATAACGAAGCTGATGATGATTCTGATGGAGCTAGAAGAAGCTTGCATGAGTCTTGAGTATAGAGTTGTTTGGGATCGATATAGTTGATAATTGAGCATTTCACTAATAATTTTTTTACTACAATACTATAATTATTCAATCATAATACAAATTTATGTAAGGTTTACCATTTTTAAAGCTTTGATCGGTAGAAATGAGAAAAAATTTGTTAATATACAAAATAGAAAAATAATTATGAATTTTAACTATTAGATTAACAAATTTTTTATTCTCACATTTTTCTCTGCTTAATAAAGCCTAGGCTTTATATTGAACCGTATACAATTTTAAATTATAATTAATTAATTGTAATGTAATTATAATAAATACTATGTTCCCAATTGATAAGGAAACAACGCATGACCTTCATTGCATTTACTAGAAGAAATGACAACCTAAAAGTAACGGGAGTGACGATGGATTTAAATAAAAAGGCTGAATTTGGGTTGAATATTGGATCTGGGTTGCCAATTGCGGAAAACAGCTCCAAGCCAGATGGGCTTGGTTCTGGGAAGAAAGGTTTGGGCATAGCAGTCTGGTAGCAGCCCAGGATAATTTTTTTGGCTTTGTGTGAAAATTGCCGATCATAGGATTATGACGCAAGCATTTAACCTGAAATTTTTTATTTATAATCTTGAAATTATATAATTATAATAAAAAATTATATAAAGATTTATCATTTATAAATTTAAACTTCACACAATATTTTGATAGATCCTATATAATTTTAAATTTTAATTAATTAATGATAATATAATTATCATAGATGATGTGATTCCAATTATCAATCGCTATGTAATAAAATAAGAGATAGTAAATACGAAGCTTTAAAAGAGGTTGAGATAGCTATTACGAATAGACTTCACCAAAAATAAATAAATAAATAAATAAAAGAGGAAGAAAAGATAGGAAGATTCAATTGAAGGCACAGACAGCAAATAAATCACAGTTCGACGGCGATTTTCAAAATAATTTTCAAGTCCTAACAAAGGTTGCGAAAGACGACTGAATTTTGGGATTAAAGTTGGGTTTTTATGTGAGGACGATTGAAAGCTTAAAAGAAGTGGAGGGTAGGGAACTGATCTAACATTAATTAACATTCCTAGTTTGATTAAGGATATGTTGCTTATCTTGTGCATTGACCCCTTGAGTGAGTGATTGATTTTAGCTACAAGGAAATTATGATTGAACATATTTGCACTTATTAAGATCATATGTACTATAAAAAGCTTAAGAAAGCGATTTTTACAATTAACCCACGCACTTCACCGCCACAAGTTCCATGTAAATGGACAACATACTTTCCAATCTTAACAATAATAATAATAATCTGATGATCAGCTGACTAATAATAGATTATCTTGAATGACCACAGATTCTGTCACCATTCATGTTTACGCTATCAAATTGGAGACAATTCTGCTCGCCAATTTTTCTACCTTCAACAACTAAAATGCTGGAGCCATGGATATGGTCAGTGAGGTTGCCCAATTCTTAGAGCCACATAAGCCAGTAGCCTGTATCCAACTAACATTATTGTCAAAGCAGCCACATCCCACCACTTATTGTCGAGACCCAGACACTTAATTGCTGGAAAATCCGTTACATTGCAACGCATCCCAATCTCGCATTCATAGACATCATTTACTGAGTACTGCACCCCCATCAAAAGCTTATAGCAGTAGTGACTAAAAGAAATGTATTTCAACCAAGCTATGAAAGGAGGAATGTGCTGAATGTAGTATCCACCGACTAACAAAAACACAAGCATTGTCACAGAAGCTAAGGTTGTAGCTTGTTTTACGTCCATTAGGATGGCTCCGAGTGCCAGTCCTAGTCCTTGAGAGACCAGCACGTTGAAGAGTACGATTAAGAGGGTTAGTACAAATGTGACTAGTGAAGGCTTGAGGCCCCCCATCCAATATGTGACAGTAACAAATATTGTAGGAAGAACTAGTTCCATTGGCAAGTCACCGGTTGTTCGGGCAAAGTAATATGAGGAAAGACGGTACATCCCTGATGATCGTTCCTTTATAAGCATTGGCCGCTCTTGAGGGAATGCGAATATGGCATTGAACAGTGGGAAAAAACCCCAGAATATTGAAAAGAAAAAGAGCAGTCCCACCTGTAAAAATTTTTATTTTGTCATCAATAATAAATAAACATAAATTAGGAAGGTGGTACCAAAAGATACATATTCTTGTCTGCAGTCTAAAACAATTACAAGGAAAAATGGCTTCTTTTTCTTCAGCTTAATTGAAATTTTAAATTCAGCATATCCTTTCGTAAAATTTTGCAGGATCTGTTTCAGGAAAACTGCTACTTCACGTCTAGTTCCAACTCTAGAGGCCCCTAGCTACAAGCAAAATTTCAAGCTTTGGGAAGAATTCAGGATCATGATATATACCTGGTCTTGTATGTGTGAAATATCAGAATGCCACCAGAGGAGGCCTGAAAGAATGGAAACAGACATGACCTGAAATATTCTTAGGCCAGAATACGATTCATGCTTCCTCTCTTGTAAACCCCTTCTCAGTAAGACCTTGAATTGCTCCCACCAACTGGTGCTCCATTGAACCTCACCGCAGCCTGCGTATATAGAAACTAATGATCACTAGAAATAATATAAATAGAAGCAGCATGCCAGCAGAGGATTTTATTACTTTTTGACACGAGCACTGATGCACCGTAACAAGTTGTAATTAACAGCAGCACCTGTTGGGAGACAATGTTTTCACTTACTTGATTTTGATGATATTACTGTTGAAAAAGACGAATCTTGCAAGTTCTTGTTAATGTCAGCCTTCAGTACAGGGTATATATTCTTCTTGTAAGACGATGTTAGGTCTTGTTTTCTCGAATTTTGATCATCATGGTGGTCTACGCTGCCTTGGAACTCTAGTTGCTCATCAGGGGTTATACCTGCTTGTCCAAAAACAGTTTTGAAATAATTAGCTGGAAATATATATGTAAAGAGGAACCAGCTAAAAAGTTTGTACTCTGCATAGCAAGAAGCTTTAGAATAATTAATTACATATGAAATTCACATAAAAAAAGAGCTTAGTGTTCATTATTGTCTGATTAATGTGCATATATAACAATTACCCATAATTAGTAAAGCTAAACAATGAGGAGGTGGGGAAGGGCCAAAAAGATGATAAAGTTATTACTATTAGAAATCAAGAGGATGGTGGTGCTTGAATTATCGACAAACAATTCCAGTCAAAAAGGGAAAAAAAATTTTAAAAGATAAACAAACAAAAACAAATACCAGAATTAAATAATTCCCTTCCCCTTAATTGACTACCTTTTTGACTTAATAATTGCTCAAAGTAAATATATGAATGATTAATTTATTTAATTAGAGTGTATTCTGGATTATTAATTAACATGTTGCCCAACGATGAAAGAAAGAGTACAAATAAAACTAATGCATAAATATGCAATAAGATTTTTTTTAAAATTGAAATTGTCAGGTATTAAAATTTTAATTAGCTCAAATAATGACCAATGTATTAAATGTTAAAAGTTTATTCACTTTAATGGTTGGTTGTGTGGTCGAAAATGGATTAAATTCCACGCTATATGTCAGCTAATGCAAACATTGATATCTAAAACTATAGTTGTCTTTGTCATATCTCATGTTATATATGATATACCCTTTTTTTTTTTTTTTTTTGTTGCTGGCTTTAACAATTTTCTTTTCCGATATTAACAGCACCATGACAGTGATTGAAGACATAAAATTAATTAAATAGAAGGTTTAACTAGTTTGAAATTAATTAATATTCGTTAAATTTAAAGAATTCATTTGCACAACAAATGTTATATGCATTTCAGGTTGCAGTAATTACTCAATCCAAACAAAGCATTAATGATCAATTAAATTTATAAGTTGAAAGATATAGCCATTGTTACCCTTCTTGAACTGGTTAAAGGATTCAACTTCAAAGAAAGAAAGAGGTGGAAGAGTAATTTGCTTACCATTAGCCAGATCAAGGAGAAAATCGGCAGGGTTCAGGAAATTGAAACCAGGTGTGAAACCAATGGAACTGAAGTACTCCATGGCCTGTTCGGCTTGCCCGCAATAGATGGGACACCCCTCAGATAGAACCAGGACCTTATCAAACATTCTGTACAACCCACTTGAAGGCTGGTGAATGGTGGTTATCACAGTCCGGCCACCGCGTGCTAAGCGGCGTAAGGTAACCATAATTCGCTGCGCGGTGGTGGAGTCGAGTCCTGAAGTGGGCTCGTCCAGCAGCAACAAACTTGGGTTCACTAACATCTCCAGGCCAATACTGACCCGTTTACGCTCCCCACCTGACACGCCCCGAAGAAGAGGCCCACCCACTATAGTATTCCTACATCTTGCTAGGCCAAGTTCCACTATAATCAACTCAGCTTGCTCAATTTTCTCTTCTCTAGTCAGCTCTTTTGGCAATTTCAACAAAGCAGCATAAGTCAGCGTTTCTACCACTGTGAGGTGGGGATACAGCACATCATCTTGAGCGACAAAGCCTGTTTTGCGCTTCATGGAGCAAGAAAATGGCCGACCATTGTATGTTATGGTACCGGACAGCTTTCCAGTTAAACGACCTCCTAGGGCAGTCAGGAGGGTGGTTTTACCACTACCAGAGGGGCCAAGCATTGCCAGTAGCTCACCAGGTCGAACAACACCGCTAACACCATTGAGCACACTTCTTCTTGGTTTGGGTTTATGCGAGGATAAAGATAGACAACTTGTCGTTGTGGTAGTACTGGAATAGATGCTGTAGGCTACTTCTTCAAACTGCAACGTAAATAACAATTTGTAAACACTTAACCCATCATTACATAAATATCGAATTCGATCGTGTCGTATGTTCAATTTTGTGCTTAATTAATTATTAGCCAAATGTGCAAGATATATAATGTACAGAACCTTAAGAGTTACAGGACGTAAAGGCTGGCAGAGAACTGAAAACCGAAGTCGAGTTTGTTGCCCTTGGTGTTGTTGGGATGGGATTGGATATTGAGAAAATGGGACAACGTTGGATGGTTCAGCATGAACCGAAACATTCTCAGTCCTGCTTGTGAGCATGATGCTGGCCGGACTATTATGGGTGGTGATATTGCTAGTATCTTGCTCAGGGGGCATCATTTTAATTAAACTAGTTAGAAAAGTAGGGCGGAAAGGTGAATTAGAGGAAGCAGAGTAATGGCGAGATCAAGCTGGGGCCTGGATGGACAGAGCTGAAGAGTTGGAGGAGGAGAGGGCTAAGAATTCACATGCAAGAACAAGTGATGATCATGTGAGTTATAAAGTGAGGAAAGCACGAGAAATAAGGTTTGATGATTTAGGATTTAAAGGCAAAGCCTTTGGAACTGTACATGCTAAGCAAAATAAGTAGCCAACGATCGATTAAGGGGGTGTTTTTGGGTGGCCCAAGGGAGATGTATTAGATTAGATGTATTGCAATGTCCTTTCCACCTATCTACGTGTTTGGACAACATTAATTTGTTACATCTCAAATCAAATTTAAAAAAAAAAAAACCAATTATGAGAATTCCCCATTGTCAAATTTTAAAATTCATGTTTTAATCAAAAGGTAAAACTTATGAATAAAAAAGAAGTTTTTTTTATAAATGACATTTCATCTGCCAAGCGAGAAATAATTCAAATCTATATAGTACCATATATATCTTTAAAATTAAGTCTTGTACAAACTGTAAAACTGAAATTGATCATGTAGTTTTGGATCAAGAACTAATGGAAATTAATCAAGTCAACCTTTTGCTTTAATATATATATCCAAGTACATAAAGGAGAAGGTTTTAATCAGTAATCGTCCAATCCATCGAGGTCTTGATCAGGCTGAAATAGAACCAAGAACCACCTCAAATTTTCTTCAATTTTGGATTTGAATTTGATGGAGCAGAAAATTTAGTAGGGGGCCAAAGGGGTATCTCCTTTCTCTTTTTCTGGAGGATGGGGTGTTTTCCAGAGGAGAAAAAGCGAAGGTGCTTGCTGGGGTTCCTCTTCCTCATACCCTTTCGTTCTAATTCTAGCTAGGTGGCAGCCTCTCATTCAGAGAAAGATATAGTGGTTGTGGATTGAGAATGTGCCGTGTCGTATCGTGTCTCCTGTAAAAAGCTTGCCTTCTTTCAACGACCTGTCCAAACCTCTTTGCATTCTTTTGTTTTCTCTTTTCTCTTTTACCGGTCTTAATTAATTTCCTGGAATCACCATAAATTTTGCTGTTAATACTAATCACTCAACAATCACGTTGATAGAATATTAATATTTTTATTTTATTAAATAAAATTTAATTCTTGATAATTTTAAATATAAATATATATAATTGGATTAACATATGAATACCGTAGAGTATATATATTTTCCCTTGGCATCATCTACAAAAGGAAATTCAAAGGTAGAATGATAATGAAACCCAACTGTTTTAAAAGCATGCAGCTGAGGAAAAATCGATCCCCGGAATAATTAGCAGGGGATGATAAAATAATATCCGTTTCTTTGCATTACTATTCCAACGTCATGTCATCCTCATTTACTGTTTACTTTGAAAATCAACAAGTAGTCCTACAAATTTTAGATGCTAAATCAAAGGAAACATAACCGACAAAATTATTGGATAAATTCTTCTTATACAAATTAAGTCAACTGTTAGAATTATTAAATTAAGATAGTGTATGTCAACATGAATGGATTAATTTATATATTAATGAAAAAAAAGTTAACTAATTCAAGCTATAATAGTTATGATTTGTGTCATATCTTAATTTATAAAACCTTAATTGACTTACTTGATGGCTAGAGTTTTTGTGATAATTCCTTTTAATATTTTTTTTTTATTTTCAAGTTTTTTAAGTATTTGGATATGATAATACTCTTTTATATATACATATATATATATAGATAAGATTTAATTTTAGATTTATCTTAGAATTATAGGATGTGTTTCATGCATAAAATTATAGTAAGATAAAATAAAATAAACTTAGGAATATGATTAAATTAAATAATATTATCTTATTTTATGTTTGATATGTATAATAATTAAGATATGATAATTTTATTTGTTAGTCAAAATTATTATTTTTTAAAATTTATACAATTTAAATTATTGATATAATAAAACATGTAAGTTTAATTCAATAGATTAAAACTAATTTTCCTTATTTGAAAGAATAGAATTATTTTGTGTCAAGAGGATGATTAATTCTCTCTACAATTATATATTTTTTTAGATATAAATAAAATATAATATAAAATAATTATTTTCTTATCTTATTCATCATCTTATATATCAAATATGATCATAACATGTTAATTTTATCTATTCGAATAGGATACAGCTTTATTAAATTAATAATTAGGAGCACTTAAGGGATTAATAGTTACCTTCCTTTTTTTAATAATTTTTTATAATTTATTTGAATTTAATATACATCTTCAAAGTGATTTTAAAAATGCGTATATTATATTTCATCGGTCTAGTATCAGATTTTACTTTTAAAATATTTTTCACAAAAAACAAATTTTATTTTCAAAATATTTCTCATAAAAATCAAATCTTAATTGATAATTTTTTTTTTCTTATCAACTAAACTAATTACTATTGGGGGTGATCTATATATAATTACCTTTAAATATCGATGCACTAAATAAAGAAAAATTGATAGGATGCAGAACAAAGGCTGATCAATTTGGATTTTATAGGAAATAAATATCTAGTACTACAAGATTTTGCCCACTTTGTATACTTTAATTTTTTGAACTTTAGACTGTAGAGCACAGCAAATTTGATTCTATTGCAGGCTCCCCATTAGGGTATTGTAAATTTGCCAAGTGTCTTTGTTTTACTTTGCTTTTTGTAAGCCTCTTTTCTTTTTCCACTTTGCCATTAAAATAAGAGAGACGCATTGCAACTTTTACACCTCGCCACTAACTGTGTCTTATTAGTGCCTTGCTATGCTTTTCTCTCATTATCTTTCAACTTCAACTCTTCAATTCTTTCCTTTGGTAATCAAATAAAATATTTCTGGTTGATTTGATTGGCCTTTTTATTATTATTTTGCTGATTGATTTGATTGGCTTAATTTTGATTCTTCACTAAACTTACAATGTATATTGAGACCTATATATCTTTTAATATAAATCATGCTTCAAATAATGAAATATTTTATTCCATTAATAATGAATATTTATAACTATTTTTATTATATATGCTAAAGCACAAGTATACTGTTATTGGTAACCCAAATTTTGCATGCCACGCTGCACCACAGCTTTGTTCTTTCGAATCATTGTCAAAATTCCAACTATTTTTGTTCTTTCAATTTGCTAATGTAGATTTAAAAAAGAAAGAAAAAAAAAAAAGTATAGACTAGACTCTAATCATCATCACAACACGTGGCAAGAAAAATCCTTAAAAAGAAAAATACATTACTCCACAATTGTGGGTCGGTTGAGCATCTTATAAAGCTATATATATATATATAATCTTTTCTATGAAAATATTATAATATTAGATGAGTTCCTATTTCAAACACATGTTTTTTTTTTTAATTTATATCAATTATAGATATTGTACATATTTATCTAATTATTTTCATTTTAATATCAGTGAATATATACTTTTCTTCTTCTATCATTAATTAATTATAATGTAATTCCCATGGGAGTTTAAAATTTTAATTTAGCATTGATATGTAGAATAATAATCTTTATATCAGTTTTAAGTTGCAATAACTTTCCAAGAAATCAAATTGAATAGCTAAAAAATAGAAAAAGAATCATGAAAGAAGGATAAAAAGGTTGTGCATAAATTGAAAATGTCGGATAAAAAAATGAAGGTTCAAAAGATGTGGGATAAGAAAAAGTAGAAAATCAATAAAGCAGGTTTGAGGCATGCCCAGCAAAGCAAAGGCCAGGAATCATCCATCAATCAGGAAGTAAATGTTGTCATGAATTATATAGAAGATATTTTATCTCATTTCTCAACCAGCTGCTGTTGCTGCTACTGCTTCTATTTTGCCATCTAGGAAATCTAATTATTGCAACTCATCAAATATAGGCTGAGCAATAAAAGCTGGGCATTCTATGTATCTTTCAAACTTGGATTAAACTGTAAAAAGGTGGATGGATATCTATGTTCTATAAAACCCTCAATGTTTATCAACAACTAGACGCCTGACCTCACCTATTTATGAGTATGACATATCCCTTTAAGAGTCTACCCAATCATTTTCATTAAGCCAATATTGGCCACCTCAACTATTAGTCTATGGATCGTCTTGGCTTGGCCCCTCCTAAAAGAAAAAGAAAACTATTTTTGCACTATGACTGCATTAATTTTCTCCCAGAGATTGTGATATTTGTCCATCAAAAATAGGCAAATTATGCCATTGTGGGACGAATTCATATATACATACATATATATATATATATATGTCAAGGAAACAAGTGGGGAATCACAGAGAAAAGCATGCAATGCGAAACATATCCCTAGTACACTAGTACACGGTGCAATCTTACTTTTTTTTTTTTCCTTACCAGCTTGCTTTGCCTACTTTGATCACTTATGTTTCTGATTGTTTCCTAGAAAGTTTGTAGCTTTCTGTAAAATCCTAGTGGCCATTCAGAGTAACAGCTTCTTTGGTGAATATATATCTATTTATTTGGGGCGCAAGTACTGTTGTGTTTTTGTCTCTTTATAAATACACCCATAATTGAGATACAACCTGGCAAGGGCCACCCTTTTCATCTCAATATAGTAATTTTCCATGCAATATGCATGCATCTCTATGTTCATGCCATTAAAAATCCATGAAAAATACATAGAAAACATTGTTTTGGCATTGGCTGCCGCAATTTTTTTTTTTTTTTGGGAAGTGATCATGACTCAAATTGATCTATATTGAGTGTATGAGCCTGTTTCAATCGTACTAGTCAAAAAATGCTATTTCTAGGGATATAAGATTTTGTTTCTAATTTTTATTTTTTAAGGTTTTTAAATTGATTTAACTCTTTTAATTAATTCTCTCTCTATTATCATCGTTTTTATTTTTTTTCATTATTTGATCTAAAATCTGTTTCCTTTAAATTTGGTTATTGAACTTGTTTAATGGTAACTTGTTATGTATTCCTATTACATTTATATTGTTTCATTTATTTGATGTTTGAAAATTTTGTGTGTATAAATATATATATATATATATTAATATTTATAATTTTTAAAACTCTTTTTTTTTCATATGAATTTGTAAATGTTTGTAACAAAAATGTATTTGCATATATATATATATATATATATATTTACATAAGTATTC